CATATTTAGTTAATTTTTCTTCATATGTAACAAAGCAACCCTGGTGAAAATGTAGGCTCACCGGATGTTAAATAATACCGCCGCCAAAAGGCTCGCAAGTGCGTTGCCGGCCTTTGAAATAATGGTTGTGCTAAACCAGGCTCTTATTCATTTGGGTTTATATTTGCTTGTACCATTATCGACATCGAATCGATATACTTATAATAGTCAAACCTAAATACCAGTAGGTTTTTGTTACCAAAAGAAAACGCTAAAGCATGAAATAACAAAAGAATTAAAAAGATGACAGTTCATTTTATTACTTGCACTGTCATAGATAAATCATTAGCCAGTGTCGAATTTAGCGTTGCCTTAACAATTCCTAAACAAAAATGAGGAGCTACTAATACAGTTGTCATCGCAATAAAACCCTTTTTCAAATTAATCGCTCTGGGAGGCGACCACCGCTTTGACCAGGCAACCGCCTGTAAACATAATAAAAATTATTTACTTCGAACAATAAACATACAATGAACGAAGCTAAACTCTATTCTGTACCAGTTTCAATCTTCAATACAATTTTAACTTTACTCTTATTATATTTAGTCTGTTTTTTAAATGGATGTGATAAGGTCGTTTGCGACGTTTCGATGTTATCAAACTAAGTTCCTGCTCATTGTCTTAGATGTTCCAATATTTGTACATGGAGATAAGGATGATGAGAAAGTTGCATGAATCACTTAGTTTTTGGCGGTAGGATGTTTGTTTTTCTCAATTGTTTGTGACTTGATGTTATTGATTTCGGTAAGGAACATGTTTTTATGTGGTCTAAGTACTCAGTTTAAATTGCTAAAACTATACTGGCTTAAATCCCAAAGGAAGAGACTGACACTTCAATGTGAACTTTCTTGATAAACATAGGTTATATTTTAAGAACCACCAATATTAATAAGATCCCAATCGTAGTTAACAAATATGTAGAAAATAGTGTTGAACTGAACGATGTTTCTGAATATAAGCTTGAGCTTAATGAGCATTAAACCTGTTTTATTATTCAGAATGTTTTTACTAAAATGTAATAAGTAAATAAATGCTATTTAGAGCTCAAGAATTCACTAAAAGGGCCATAACTTTCACTTTCAAATACCAACTTATAAACGTTCATATACCACTTAAAACCTTGCTTTATTTTAGTAAAGCTTTATCTGTTAATTAAAAATAAAATTTACTCAATTATTAACACCTCTGATAACATTGAAAGATCAGATAAATAATAATGCGCTGTTTGTCGCTTGTAATAAAGGCCATATTGCTAAACGAGTTGACCAGGTGGGTACAGTGTAAGAGAGGTAGGTATGTCATGGTGAATTACGGACAAAGTGCGTTAATTATTTCGTTGTAAATTATTTTCTACTGTTTCCTTCTGTTCAGTAATTTATAGTTCTTTGTATAATAAACCGTCATGATAATTTCACAGAAGTAACTTGACAAGTTGTAGTGTCTTTAAGTGTCAATTGACCTTGACTGTCAGAGCGTGATAGAATAAAGTAATGTTTAGTTCAAATGTTAACATTGAAAATAGCGTCATTATAGTTATCGTGAAGGGAAAAAATTATGCGGATTTTCAAATATAAAATGTTAGTAAATATTTAATTTTATAGCGCATTAAAATCACATTTTACAAACTTTTTTTTCAAAGTTTTTATTACGAAATATGAGGTATTTTTATGTCTAAGTGTGGTATTTTGGTATTACCTATAGTACCTACGAAAGCGGATTAGAAGATATAGAAGCGGAGAAAATAAATGGAGAAAGAAAGCCTATGGCTCTCCAAAAGCTGAAGTAGCCATTTACCCGAGTATGGTTCCGTATTAATAGTGCTGAAGAAAGTTAACGATACGACGATAACGAGTTTAAAAAAATATAATAATTAAAATTCTATAATGTTAACAATAATTGTATAGATTGGAAATAAATGTTATTTTGTTATAAATTTATGTCAGTAAAATAAAATAAATATAAAATATGTTTATTATGGAACATAAGATACATGTATCACTTATTCCACGTCATTAAATTTGAATTTGTAGGCATCCCTACTCATCGGCAAAGAAGACAGAGGGTGTAGGCCGAGAGAAAAAGCCGGCGTAAAAAACTCTCGGTACCTCTTTTTAGTAAGTGGCAGCGGCGCTACAAAAACTCTTGTTTTAACATTAACCTAAAGCTATTAAAAGCTTGAATCATACAAACTTAAAGGAACAGTATCATGCAAAGCTTCTAATCGAGCACTTTTTTCGAGATTATTTAAAAAAACGAGTTTAGAATGACGTACAGACCCGAGCGGTAACGCAAGTTCGGCTTGAACATCGAGAGCAAACAACGTTATATGGCAAAATACCTTTGAGGTATTTGCTACCGCTGCTAATCAACGGACTAATCAGTCAGTTATTAGATAGCCTAACGATAACCAACATAAAAAATAAATTTTAAAACTACTTTTATATGCATTCGTCGCGAGAGCGAGACTGCTATGATTACATTTATACAAACCACAGTGGTATTTATATTGTAACATATCAAGATTTTATTGTATTATTATGTAAAATAATGAAATTAAAAAAATATCGCATATTATTTACACAAATTAATACAACTGGGCTTCTAGTAAACGTATCTTAAAGCACCCTAGATGTTAAATGTTTTCAATACTTAGGGAGATTGAACATCTGTGTGTAACACGGATTGTCAATTAACTCATAAAAATCATATGCGCAACACATGGTTATAGCACGCGACAAGCAAGTTTTTGTGTCTAAAGTATTTGATGAAAACTACAAGCGTTATATGTCAAGTAATTTGAACAATTTATGACTTTATTATATGGTTCAATAGGTACCACAATTATTAAATAAATTAAAAATACAACTAAGATATTTCGAAGTATTACAAAGACAGTGAAAAATATTATATGATACTTAAAAGTTAACTTAACTTACTAATGAGCCTTTATTTATTTCGTACTCCTACAGCTAACTTAAATAATATATAATAAAAATTCAAGTTAACTAAATATATAGGCGAACATTTTAAACATAGGAAAAAAAATCAATTAAAACAGATTAGATACGGAATTTGGGTGTGTTGTGTGATGGTGTGTATGTCAGGTTATGTTCTAAAGCAGTAAGTACTATAAACACGATATTTAACTACAAAACAAACGCTGATGATAAAACTGTAATATTCCTTACACATTGAGATTTTAGTCTTGCCTTAAAGTCAAGTTCCAGTAGGCCAAATGCCAACTCACAGATAGCCTCGGTATTTCTAAAATCTTATACGACAAAACGCCTATAGTTATAGATAAACCCCACAAAGCCTCTGCGCGGTGGCTACATGAAATCAATATGTTCTTTCCGAACTGCCATTCATTTAGAACCGATTAAGCGGATAATTCAAGAAGGCAAAACAAACTCCGTTTTTCATTTAAATTAGAATCTTTATATTATGGTCGTGTAACACAATACGTATTTTTGCAACATTGTAACGCGTTGATGTCTTTTCCTTGCGATAAACGCAACGAGACAGTCGCGATAACGCAGTGTGGATCAAATATCTATTTATAATTTTACATGTGATATATTATACGGTAATATAAGCAGTTCTTTAGACATATGTTGGGTCTATGACACATCTTTGTAGACTTTCCTACTTTTAAGTGGATATATGTAGGTGAATATTATGCAAAATTAATTCACTATCAAATACTCTTGTAAAAGCGTTTCATATAAAACAACATGTTATTTTCTATAAATCTTTATTTTGTATTAAATTGTTTAATAAAATCGTTTCTTTCAATTTCGAATAAGGAACGCGTCGTTCGCCGTGAGCACGTGTAGTGCCACTCGTGCGCACTTCAATTCTCGTTCTGCTCTCTGATTGGTATTCGCCGCCCCTCCCACCGGCGCACGATCATGCCGCCCGCGTTGCATTTCATATTGCAAGTAATCTGCCAATTTATGAATGATATCTTTTGAACAATTGTAATTTAATATTGAATTTACAAAAACATTCGTAAAAAATTACTATGGTATTTTATGATCAATGAAGTTTGATAAATAAATTTTTATTTAAAACTTAAAGTACGCTTTGACTGTTGTTCTCAACTAATATTAAAATAATACTAATTAATTACTAAAACTATAATTTCATATATTTCTTGTTTAAACGTTGTATAATAACGTCATCAATACGTATCAATTAAATATGTGATATATAACTAATACCTAGTGACAACATGTAGAAAATTGAGGCCCCGTACTCATTTTCAAAAAATATATTAAATATAAAATTAAATAATGCTTAAGAGATGTAAGAAAAAATAATTAAGTTCTAATAAATTACTATAGCTTTCTGCCCTTTATATTAAATATAACGTTATTCCGGTTGTGGGTCCACGCATATCTTTATACCTAATAATGTATAGGACATATGGTAAAAAGAAGTGAAGTTGCTTGAATTTTTTATTAATCAGGCCATGAAGAATTTATTTTGTTGAATATGTATGTATTCAAAAACAGTGTCTATACCTTGTCTATTTTATAAAATACAAATACCTTATTTTTAAAGGAAACTCCAAATATATAATAATCATAGCTATAGACAACAAAAATATTAAAAATAAACCTAACTCCATTAACAAATTTATAAAAAACAACATACAGCAAACAAATAAAAACTATAAAGTAGGTACCGCTTCACTTTAATCATTAGCAAATATTTTAATCTAATTAAGGTACCGACAACAATATTAAAACTCATTAGTAAATTAAATTCATTATCCATACCGATGTAACAATACATTATCTAACCTTGCATAACTCAATGACCCGTCAAAAAAATGTCGGGCGGTAATCCAGGTAAGTCCTCCCACCATAGCTCCGCCTTGGCTCTGCCGGACAGTCAACTCGTCAGATAGTTATGTTTCGAGCCGCAGCGCGCATGTGACCGGTCCGCCCATTACGATGAAGTGTTTGTGCCTGTTAGTGCTTTTTCTGTGTTTGCGGTGCGAATGTGCCGGCAGCAAGCCGCGCAGAGGACGCGGCAGCATGTGGTGGTAAGTGACGTTTGACTTGACGTTGACATATGTAACGTTGTCAAGTTTTGTTTTTGTTCGAAATTCAAATGTAGGTCAAGATTCTATGAAATTAGGACATTATCATATATCCCATTATTGGAACTGTGGTTGAGTAAATATGTTAAGAATATTTAATAGGCATAAATCTGTATAAACTTAATTCCTATAAATTTAAAATTCGAACATGTATCAAAACCGAGTAAGATAAATGCGCAGTAAACTTTACGTAGTTAATAAATTAACCAGTTATACAGATGCTAAATGATTAATACTGATCAATAAATTACATGTTTGTAAGCGTTGAAAGTTTAATTAATTTTAATTACACCGCAAACGTTGTTAAATATGCTAATATAAATTTAATTTGGTAGTTCAAAGTAGTCGGTAGGATGAAAACAACAAGCAATGCACAGCATTATGCAGTGTATTGTTAGATTTAGCAGTCTAATTAATAAAAATGTATAGTTGACTTTAAAACATAAGGTATAAAAACGTTCTTAATACATTCTTACGTTCTTTACTGTTTTTTCTTACGGCTTAAATTATTTATTACGGCTATTTCATAGGAATGAAATTAGAACTAAAATAAAAGTGAAAGGATTGTAGCTGAGTGATGCGTGTCTCCGTGACAGACAGGAGTAGACATTTATTTGAATACACTATCACTTGGCTCCTGTTATGTAACACTTAATCCTTTCCATAGACTAAAGAATTTACTGGAAAAGACCAGCACAATACTTCATTGTAATATTTGATTTGTATAATTTATAGTAGGTAAAAAATATAATTTTATATAAAGTAGATACTAACTAAAATAATATGTACAACATAATTTTTCATTTTAACATTTTCTTATATATTTCTATGACACAGTATACTTTCTTAAAGAAATGATAATAGTATATATTAAAAATCTATTTTTTTAAAAGATTAAAATACAACTACAAACTTTTCAAATTATAAAAGCTTTTATTATAATAAAATATCATAAACGTTTGTTCAAAAGGATAATAGTTTTTAAATTATTAAATTTAAAAAATGAATAATGATTATTAATTTATTTAAATGGTTTGTACTACTTATACTACCACAACAACGCTTTCTAAGACACTTTCTGTCACGTACCAGCTTTTTCTTTTCTTACAAGTACTATCAATTTGTGACAAATGTAATTTTTGTCATATCAAACATTAATTAAAAACTTCATCGGTCAACAATTGTTTTATCTAATAAATTCCTAATTATAATGAATAATTTAATTACACTATAGATTTCTCCGCCGGCTGAATTCATTTTATTTAAAACAATTGTTAAAACATAGGTTTGATGAAGCCGTCGCAGCGCGCGCGTCGGTAAATTGCTAACGACAACCGACGGTATTTCTTTGTACCAATTAACTAATCTGCTAAAGTAGGGATTAATTACGCGGTAATTATCATTTCATTTATCGTAACATTATGTAACTATAATTATTAAAATATTCATCGTTTATGGATGACTTTATTACTAAGGCATATTAGTTAAAGCGCATGACATATAACCTGACATCTTTAGATTGATTTTTACTGAAAATATAGTTGTTCCATGTTTATACTCATATAGATATACACTTAAGACAAAAATGAAAAATATTTTTATTGTATAATTAATAGTTTTTACTGAATAAGTTGTGAGTTCTATAACATTTTTAATTCTGTGTTAAACTTATCATTTATCACTATGTCACTATTAACAAACAGTGGCTCGTGTTCGTTGTGCAAACAAACAAACATAATTATTTTTATAGTATCTCAGAAATTCTTAAGTTAAGTTTAACTATTTAACACAGTTATTAATCAAAGGTATTCTTTGTGTAACTATATTTTAAAATATAATTGAATCGATGGTAAATTTTTCATAACATATATACAGTTATATATCTTTAATATTAAAAAAAAATATTAAAACATGTATTATAAAACATCACACGTACGTAATATTATATTACAATAAAAATTCGCGTCGTCATAATTATTTTAATCGCAACCATTTTAAGAAGACCTCTTTTATTGGAAGCAGTTTTGATATTCATGAATCACAGGAGGCTGGTGTCAGGTCCTTATAAAATGGACGGCTCAATATTTTGACGCCTAACATGGTAACAAATTACATAATGAAATCTTAATTTGTATTCAAACAGCGTGTCTCGATTTGCCAACAGACATTTTAGAGGCAGTTTATACACTTATGATTTTTATACAAAATAAGCGTTTCGTTGTTCATGACTTTGTCGGTGTTAAACAAAAAATTATATGATCCCGAATTTATTTTAAACTTAATCTGGTATCTTAGATTAAAATCGCTTTGAAATCCATTAAGTAGTTTATTACATAAACATATAGACGGTTTTATACTAGAAGAAGCCGAAGCGAGGAAATGTGAAAAAATAAGTATGAACACAACACAATTGAATTTTTCTATTGTATTTTCTATATCAAAATTAATCATTTTTCTGGCACAATAAATTTCACAACAAGCCTTCTCCATATCAAAATGTGTCGTGTTTGGGTCAATGTTAAATTAAATGGGCTAGAAACAAACTCATAAGATACAATTACATGAATGTAATATAAATTTACAAAATATCTATAATCTGACTGTAATACCGTCGACAATGGTAGGTACTATCATTTTTCGGTATTACCAGTAAAGTAAATTCATTAAATTAGTAAAAATAAACTAATCATCTTTGAAATAACTGAAAAAAGATATATGCCATTCTAGTATTTAGCAAAATGTTAGCCGTGTTACCAATTACAAGTACACCCACATTCATCAATTTGTCTAATAAATAACCTCTTTCACGTGTATTTTAGTAGAAAGCTAAAAAACTAGTTAATCAAATTCGGTCAGTCCGTTCACCGTTCAAATTGAATCATATTGAAGTAATTAACAGCAGCGAAATTCAAGAGAAACTTTAATTATCCAAACGACCAGAACTCAAGTAAATATTTGTTATTTTGACATATTCACACAGTCTTTATCTCTGTCCAAACATTGAGTTTGCTCGTGAAAGGTATTCACGATTTTTTCTTGAGGATCTCATCTGTTTTATTTGATTTCCTACCAAAGTGACAAGTGTAAAGGACTTTACGCACGGGCAGACAAATATACTTTGTTTTTAGTTATGTCAATAACCCAGCGCGTTCTCATAGTTTCGGTTTTGAGGTCAAACTTGTATTGGTTTAATTTTGAGTTTGTCAGTTGAGAATTTAAAGTCGGTTTTGTTATAACTAGACGCGTAAGATTAACTAGTTTTAGAACAGAGGCGATTCTAGATATACCATTGAATATATTCTATATTCGTGGAGTTATTTTTTAGTTTAATAAGTATATTGTTAAATTCGAACATTCAAACCATCGTTAACCAAGCCGTCCGTCAACAAATTCTCGAAGGAAATAGTCCAAGAACCCGTCCATATTTACGCAACACTCGACTACAAAGAAAAGTAAATAATGGAGCATAGTGATATCCGAGTTCACTTGTTTTTCTGAGATAAACCTTCATTATGTAATATTTAATACATACAGACCTAGATATGTAACGGGTAATGTGTATAACGTGTATAGTTTAAGAGGTTGAGCGTGGGTGGCGAGTTGAATTCTGTTTGAAATGTTTCGCGTGTATACATATGAAGTGAGTCGGGGCAATGCAGAGTCAACACGTTGAGCTGATGTGCTCGAGATGTGGATGTGTTTGCCCCGGCCCTTGAAGATTAATGCGCGACGCAAATATTTGTCTAAACGTCTGCGGATTGACAGTTCGGTCGTCAATTGTTTGTTGTCTTCGAAAACGAGCATTTCATTCTGGGCACCCATTGCCCTAAGTGGCGTTTTGTTAGGTTTTTTTAACAATAGTTTTTGCATTGTCTCACGTGATAACGGACGATCTACTGTTTTACTACCTGTTACTTTCACAGATTAAACGTGAAATTACCAAGGTTTCGAAAATAGTTTTTTAAAACGGCGCTTTTTGTGCACCTATCTTGTCGAAAATAGGTTTAACTATAAATAAAATTTATATCTTTAGAAGTTAATTTGGTTTTATTTTGTTCTAGGGGCATAGCTAAAGCAGGGGAACCAAATAATCTATCACCACTATCCCCTGGAGTTCTTTATATGGACCCAGCGGTCCACGCGACGCTGAGGCGGAAGCAAAGAAGACTAGCCAGAGAAAACCCTGGGGTTCTAGCAGCAGTTGCTAAAGGAGCAAACATGGCGGTAACAGAATGCCAACACCAGTTTAAATACAGAAGGTGGAACTGCTCCACCAGAAATTTCCTAAGGGGGAAGAATCTATTCGGCAAAATTGTAGATAGAGGTAAGGATTTATATTATTTATATTACATTCATTTTAAAATTAATGCTTTACGACGTAAATGGCTAAACCAATGACTATATAGTCAATGAATAAAAATCTATAGTAATCTATAGTCATAACATTTATTTGTTGTTCCCAAGTCTCAAAATCAATATCTTAAAGTTCTTATAATTAATTAAATCAAAAGTCTAGTTTGGATAGTTAAATTAATTTCTTAATATAGTTAACTATGATAAAACATAGAAAAGATTTTAACACATTATTTACTTGACATCACATCGATATTAAAACATTTAAAATGTACTTATAACATTCAACAATATTTTACACGATTATAAAGTCACCAAAACCCCTTTGCCTACCTACTGCAGTGCAGACTGCTTTAATAAACATAAAATTTTTGTTACATAAATTGTTTATTATGGACTTAATTAGTTATAAATTCTGATAAAGACTGACAAGTTAATGTCCGGACCCCGATTATCCTTTGCCAATATTAAATAAAAACTGAACAAAGAAACATAAATAGCGAATATAAGAACACGCGTAATTCGTTTGTCTTAACAAAAGAAACAAAACACTCAAATAATGTAAGATGATAAATGTCTACAAAGCTTCAAGTGAAATCCTTAAAAAACATGATCAAATCTTTCAATGCAGAATTTGTTAAAAAACCTTAACAAAAAGACTCTAATCCCGGTTACAAAGAGTGGCTACAAATTAAGTGATATCTTCACTTGGCAACCCTTTTTAAAAGATGTTATCGCCATTCACCGGGAGGGTAGCTCATCGGTGGCAGATATAAAAGACTCATCAAGATAAAACATCCTGGATCAATTACACGACCATGTGACATCCCAAATCCCGTTCGAGGTCCCTTTTCATTATGCCCTCTGATTTATTTCGATACGAGACTGCTAATTCCCGAGCCTGTATTTATATAACTGTACCTAACTATTCGTATAATTTAATAGTCTTTCAATTTGACTAGACGAGATTTTATCGATAGATTCAAATCAGCAAATATCCATTACCATAAAAATACCGGTTATGCTACTAAATTCATTGGTCACTTACTAAATCACAGACTCCATAATTTACCAGTAAATGTATGTATGTCTTATTTTGTATATGAATAATGTTGTAATGGCCACGTAATAATAAAAAGGCGAGATTAAATTCATAAAAGGTGCACTTACGAAAATTAAAATGTTATCAAGGTAAACTTGTTTCGTCAAAGTTGGAAAGTAAAAACTTTATTGGTATTGGAATAAGGGCTAAAGTGTTCGTCATGTTTGAAGGGAAACGCAAGAGTTATTTTGTAGCTTGAATCAGAACTGCCCTATCTCCGGTGTCCGATTTCGATGCTTTGTACGCGATACGCCTTATTATAAGCCTGCGAACTGCGAACATCTGGTCTGTACAAGCATTATTGGCTTATAGCAAAAAAACAGCGAGTATTGTAAATTCAATCTGATTCTCAGTTTTTTATCCGAATCTAATGTTATTTAAAACCAAAACAAACAAAAGTTGAATGAACGTAACGTTTTAGAAATGGATCGGAAATGCATTTAACAAAAAAGCATTTCTCAGATAGATCGGAGTTCAGGCCGCATTAAGGGGGTTATCTATAAAATTAAGAGCTTTCGCTCCCGTATCTCGGTCTAATTCGATCTCATTTTCAATTCGGGACGATATCGGGATTGGTCTAAGAAATCTGGGAGAGCTACGGTTATTGACCCTTTTACTTCTGTTAATTAAATGCGCAAACGCTTTCTGTATGATATTGTTTCTATTAACTTGCACTTTGAAAACGGTCCAGCGGTCGAGACAGGTCATCTGTGGCTACGCTAAAAGCTTTCTGGAATCAGAGATAAAGTATATTCTTGCCGATACTAAACAGATGATTGCCCTTTCGAACTAAATAAATTATTAATTTAATTCCGTTTAGACATAAACAGCGACCATTGAAAATATTATTAGTTACAAATAGCTAGATTTATATGTTTACACAACATTAATATTATACTGATTGAAAAAAAACTAGTCGAGTCGATAGCCGGAGGCAAGAATATACCTGTTAGTGCGTGAATGTACAGGTAAATCAAAAAGAATAATTTTGGTCCCAAAGCGATTAGCTCCATCTTATTTATGTAAGTAGAATAATGTAAATTGCTGAGACAGAACCAATTAACGCGATAAAATTCATTAATACGAAACCAGCAATTACTCAGTGAGATAGTCTTTTTTTATTAGCCCAAGCGACGGATACCAGAATTGAATACTTCTGTCAATCATAAATCGGAATCTAGAATTTTATCATATCGAGAATGTAGACTTTAATATTAAAATATACTTCAAATAAAAGATAGGAATATTTTTTCTAAATTAAAACAAGATAAAGCAGAGTATACGGACCACCGCCGTCATGATAATTTAATTCTATAAAAAGAGCAAGAGCTGGTACAAAATTTATGTTATATGCGTGTGCATTTAGAGCATATTACTTTATTAAAAGCAGCCAGGGCGGGCGCCGAGTGTTTACGTGGATCAGGTATTATGGCCAGCCGCAAATATCTCGCGATAAACTTTTAAATACATTGCAATTACATTCATTTAAGAAATATCCATAAAAATGCAGCTGATAGCGGCGGGAGCACACAACGCTAGTCATAAAACAATCGTAAATATGCGTTTTGGAATCGCTACAACTCGATTTCTGAATAGGGTCTCCCTGTTATAATTACAGTTGGGTCGGACAAAGGCCCCCCAGATGGAACACGAATGATTACTAATATACATGTCGACACGCCATTGATGAGTTGACGCGACATCTTCATCTCTTTGTGGTGTAAACCTCAAGGATCGTATTAACACAAATGATGACAACGGTACAATAGTCGGGCTTTTATACGACGGGTCATTGTTGACCCGAGAATAGAAAAATATATAGGTCCGGGACCCCGCGGCGCGGCCTCCTGCGGCGTAGTTTAGCGATGCGACTATAATCGTACACGCTCTACGGAAGCCACGTTTACACCTATCGCTGCTCCTAATAGCAGGTAACTCGGCCAATAAAACGACCTTTCCAAATATTTCCTGTTTTGAAGGTATCATATGTATGCCTCGAGTCGAAGATTCCATCGCCGTGGGCGGATAAAACGTATAAAACCATCTTAACCGAAAATAAAACGGATATAAAATTCCCCCGACGAAATATTTAATGCTCAATTAGATAAGCGTTTTGGGTTTTGTGTTTTGTATTGTTTTCAATATTACGATCAGCTTAATGTCGGGCTCATGTATGCGCTCAATCCAAAAAAGTTTATTTAAAATTATTGCAATGATTGTAAATCTTGATCTCTCATTATGAATAGTTTTAAATCAAATTATTTTCGGTACTTTTTCTATAGTTTCAAAACAAACGTCTTTGTTCGTCGTGTGAATGGCCAGGAGTGGACTGGTAGCGAGTGGTAGCGTTTACTGCTTTGTGCCATTCACAATGAGTGATATATTACCGGCTTCGAGTTCTGAATTGTCGCCGAGATGCCTCCGGTGAGCTGTTGTCAAGAAATAATCACCCTCAGATAGCAGAACGAAAATGAATTATTGCTCTTTATTACGCCATTGAACCTATTCCTCAAATTGCAGCCAAAATTCACGCCATTTAAATTGAAAACGATTTTGTGAACAAAAGAACAAGTATCGAAGATAATTTGAGCTCCTTAAAACACAAACCTCATAATATAGTAGCTTATAATGCAATAAAATAGTGGCATAATGTGGTCGTAAAAGAAAAAGACACAAATGAATGACTTCATTGCCCTTCTCTGATAGAACGATTTCTAAACCGGCAAAACATCGTATTATAAAACGCAGTGATTTATGGTTGTTTTGAGTAATTACGGCTCATCAAATTTGAATAATGCCACTCGCAATAAATAATAACGTACGAGAGGTGCGACGCGCGAACCGTCATAAGTCAATCCTTCAAATTAATCTTTTCAAGAAACACTTCACCGTGATGGCTTAATGCGACGGAATATATTTAATTAGTACATTAATTTCGAATTATTTAATGGTCTGTTTTGTTAGGCCAGGTGTTCATCAAGATGTCAACAGTGATTAAGTTTTATTTAGCGCCCTCGCTCAGGTGGATTTACGATTTTTTGACTTTTATAAATCCTGAACGACTCGCATTAACTGTCAATCCCGGGGACGCATTATCGTCCGATGTAAACCGCCATCAGGATCATTTATTATCCGCGCAGATAATCAACAGACAGCACTTTATTATCAGTTATAATAATAATTTACTTTTATAGATTCGCATTACTCGTCTGTTCTTATTTGATCGTGCTCGATGTGGCTAGAATGCGGGGTTGACATTTGAAGTACCCGAATCGATTATAAAACTTGACTAATCTTTATTTGTATTAGCAGTAACGGTGTCAGATTATGGTTTTGTTTGGGCAGTTAATTAAGACTTTAGAATGAATTTATATTTATTTAATGCCGTGACAAATGTGTTCCCTCGAACAGAGCCTTATTACATCTGTCATAATTTTTCTACGTCGCGATTTATTTGCAATGCGACAATCCGCTTTATTCTCCTGAGATATCGATGGGATGCCAGCGATATAAATTGAATTATTTATAGTTTAATAAATAATTCGCGTGTAGACAAAGAGTCGAGTTGTCAAACGAGGTAGTGAATCATCTAAGGAATAATTAGAATATTCCGGTTCCTGTTTTCCGTTATGTCTAAGTAAGAGTAGCGAATAAAAATCTCAGCGGGTGGACAGCTGTGGCAGATGTGTTGGAGACAAGTACCACGTGGTGGCCCACCTGGTGGAGGCGCCCCGTCGACGGACCTCCGACACTGACTCATACGAATATCCGTGTGTTTATCGCTTTTATATTCGACTATCGATCTGGCCTGGTATCTTGTCACTGTCGCATTCTATTTCTGATTCTATTATATTATTTAGTATTAAAATCGAACAAATTGTAACTCACTTTCCAACTGCAAAGCAGATTTCAATTAATTTCTCACATTTTGGTTATTTCCAGCTAACTTTTATATTTATATAACATTAACAAACTTTATTACACAGAAATTTCCTAGTTTAAATTTCACTATTGGATCTTTTAAATTGCATTTATTTTGAAGGAAGTTCTCCTTTAAAACATTGACATTGAGTGATGGCGAAATTGACATTAAAATTCCAGCTCCAACATCCCAAGTAATTGCTGAATAAAAATTGATAAAATGCGTTTCTGTTTCGTTTCAAATAAGAAGAAAAAGATACCTCCGTTGCGTCCAGGCCATAATTTATATCCATGTACGATGACAACTCAATAAAAAAATGATTCCATTTGCTTATTGAGCCCTTAATAACGATGCTTCGTTCCACATAATATTATAAATAACGAGATACGTCTTTTATAGCAGTGATTTTATATGCCACGAACGCCTGACCACTAAATAAATGGCTTGCATAAAATCGCGCTTAGCTTAGCAGATTCAACGATGTTGCTTTAGTAAAATCGAGGTTGAGACCGAAAGGGTATAAGCCAGTTGGCAGGAAGCCCACCCAGAGAAGTTATCAATTTAGCATCAGAAATATTAATGTGGCATAGATATCGCTTGATTATCAAGTATTTTAATCGCTTCATCAATGAATGTTTATTATTTTTGTATAATTATTAAGAATTCTACTACTTTGGTAAGAATAGTTTTATCAGTCACACTATTTAATGGTAATGTGTATGTATAAATAAGTGTTATCCGCGACTTCGCCTGTTAATTACAGATATGTAAAAAGCCGTACCTAGAGTCATTAAATTAAGATTGCTAATTAAGCCATTTAGTAAATATGTAAATAAGTTTACCATACTTCGAATGAGAAATTAAATATGAATTTTACTATGCTTCCTTAAATCAGTTGGCAACTTATCGGGCATTAAGTTCATAACTGAGTTGCACAATTTTCCAAGTACAAATCTATTCTTAGATATAATTAAATTTTATTCTCTCTTCTAATTTAAAAGTAAAGTCACGGGCAATGATCAGTTTATTTGTGCTCCAAACACGATAAGAATCTTATTGATTAAAAGGAATGCAATTGGTTTTTAATAGACATCCTTCAACAATAAAAACGGTGAAATATTATTTCGACGCTTGCGCAGTTGGAGGTTTAATTCACTAACAGTTTACTGCCTTTTAAAATCATCTTAATGCAATCTTGATTGCGAATAAATTCAGGAATTCTTAAGTAAATATTTTAACGAACGCATTAATTTATAATTATAATAAAGTAAACTAAAATACAAGAATTTATGTGGATTTTTTGGCAGATCTTAATTAATGTTTGTTTCATAAAATTATTTTCATTATTTTGTTTCGTTATTCTTTACAGTAAAATTATTTATGCAAATGTCATTATGTACATTAAATCGTTACGTTAAAGCGATTCGATTAAAATGTTTTGTCTATAATCGATTAAGTAGTATCGATGTTCGAGATTCGATACGCGCCATTCGATTGTAATGATCAAATTTATAATCCGGTGGGTAGGTACGGCCTTTTATTTTCGATCGACGATACTCTTTCTTTAATTGTATTTTATGAGTATTTGATTCTAATGCTGAGCCATTAATTATTTATAGTTCGATTTGAGATATCGATTTATGAGATGAATGTATCGGATTGTATTGTAATGTCATAATTATTTATTGATCGCGGCTTTAACTATTTTTATAAATTTGTACTACTAAAAGATAACGAACTAAAAGATATTCCTGCTAACAAATAAATTATTAGCCACCAAAAAATTTGTCTTAATGATTGCTATACACTAACGTGCAAAAATAACTAAATTATTTGAGTGTCAACATTACATACAAACTTATAGCGTGATTAAATTACTATATTTAGGATGAAGTAGTCTTAATGTAGAAACAAAATGATTATTTTACGCAATGCCAATTAAGTGATTTTTGGGGTCTGATGCCCTACCCACTGCAATTTGATTACGCATCAAAATATTTTCATTTAATACCAAACATATTAATGTGATGAAGATTTTTTGTTCCTTCACCTCGAGCGATAATAAAATTTGATTAAAATATGGGACCCTCCGTTGTGGGATGAATTAATTATAAAAATACCAAACATGTCTATGTGAAATATTATAAAATGTTTATTCAAAAATAATATCACGGCAAAAAGTCGCTACCTGCCTTCGCAGGATTTTAGCAATTTGTTATTTTGGCAACTTAAGAATTAAAAGTAAACATTTTTATAAATTCACTTTGCAATTCTATCTGTCAGAGAAAATGCGTGTTAGATCACTTATAACATATTGAAAATATTACAATATTATTTTTTTGCAGGGTGTCGAGAAACAGCGTTCATTTACGCGATCACCAGCGCGGGCGTAACACATGCAGTATCACGAGCATGCGCCGAAGGTTCCATAGAATCTTGCACGTGTGATTATTCGCACGTCGACCGCGCCCCCCACCGCTCAAGAGCCGCTGCTGCCGCCAACGTTCGCGTCTGGAAATGGGGGGGATGCAGTGATAACATTGGCTATGGTTTCAAGTTCAGCAGGGAATTTGTTGACACGGGCGAGAGAGGCAAAACTTTAAGAGAGAAAATGAATCTACATAACAACGAGGCTGGGAGAATGGTGAGTAATCACGTCATATCGCACTTGATATAAACACTCGTGGACTTCTCAAGTGGTTGAGCTATCGTACAATCATTCGTCAGCCACTTGACATGTCATATAGAATGTAATTATGCGTCGGCCAGCCAGTCCATTGCGCGGCGAATGCGCAAGGCACCCATTCGTCGCGCTTGGGTTGCCCCCTCCCACATTACACCTACATTTGCATATCCACTATTCATTCCTGCCTAAGACATCAAGGGACAGGCGCCTCGAGCTACCCAAAGAATCATTAACATCTAATTCCCGTCACAATGGACGCGCTGGGTGTCCGCCTGATGAATATTTACCACATTCCTTCAAATATTTAACACTTATATGTATATGCTATATTTATCTACATGTGAAAGAAACAAAGAGCTCAGGTCATGTTCCGGAGCGTGCGCTATGAGATAGGAAAATATTTGCTGTCTCCATCCTCGCGTCATTTATCTACATTCTAAGAATGATGAATGTCCCTAGAATATGATTTATGATCTGTCCACGCGTTGTGACGATCGGCCCACCTTCTTTCGATTTGTAACAATTTGCTCGATCGTATGATTCGATCGATGAAGTGAGCTTTTAGGATCATCGATCACCATTGCCGCTTATCGAACGGATTGATGATATTCGAATAGACCTTTTTTTGTTTGTAATGATGTATTTTGACATTAACATTATTGTTTTCCCACAGCACGTGCAAACGGAGATGCGGCAGGAATGCAAATGCCACGGGATGTCTGGCTCTTGCACGGTTAAGACCTGTTGGATGCGGCTACCAAGTTTCCGATCGGTCGGCGACTCATTGAAAGACCGCTTCGACGGGGCATCGCGAGTGATGGTGTCTAACACGGACCTTGAAACGCCAGTGCAGCGAAACGACGCAGCCCCACACAGAGTTCCTCGCAGGGATCGATACAGATTCCAACTGCGACCGCACAACCCCGATCACAAATCACCGGGAGTCAAAGACCTCGTCTACTTGGAATCGTCGCCTGGTTTCTGCGAAAAGAATCCTCGGCTGGGTATACCCGGCACCCACGGGCGTACTTGCAACGACACGAGTATCGGAGTGGACGGCTGCGACCTCATGTGCTGCGGCCGCGGTTACCGGACTGAGACCATGTTCGTAGTGGAACGGTGCAATTGTACATTCCATTGGTGTTGTGAAGTGAAATGCAAATTGTGTCGCACGGAAAAAGTGGTACACACATGTTTATAGGTGCGTTAATCACGAGTCACGTGTGAATGAACACTTAGTGCCTCCAGCCAGTGACTCTAAAAAGACTTATGTACAGAGACTGATCGTTTGACTTATGTAAATAACTGTTTGTAACGGAATAATTCTAATTTATCCGAAATTAAAATATCCGAGAAATTTTCTCAACAAATAATGTGATCTAGTATTTTTACACTGACGTTCAGAGACTAATGAGACCAGTTTAGTGCGATTTATATCTTTAAATTTTGTCATCTATTTACAATGTTCGGACTGGACTTATTGGTGTCCTAACATGGTGAGCGCTTTACTTGAGTAACTGTTAATCGAATTGATAATTTTAAGACTACTTTAAATGGTATTTCTTAATATCATTTCAAAGTTTTTAATTTATTCCTAATGTTATGTTATACTTTAGTAAAACATAAATAATAATTTCGAACCATATTTTCGTTCAATTTATAATTTAGTGTCGAGTATATCGCGTTAACCGTTTTAAGACAGGAGCGAAATTATCTTGTAATTATAATTTTATATTAATTGTGGATTTATTTACGTGAGATTGCGTCTTAAGTGCATTAACATAAAGTGGCTTCTTGGGTGTTCAGAGATGAAGCCGCCCTTATCAGTGAATAAGTAGCACCATCGTAAAAGTGTCCCATATTACGAGATAAACGCTCCCGAGAATTTTAATTAAATATTAAAAGAATTAAATAATCAGTATTATAATATTGTGTGCGTGCAGCGTCCATACAAAGATAAAGAACGAAGCCGGACAGTTATAGATCTTAAACAGTTAATTTATTAAAGCATGTATATGAACTTACACTTTCTGAAAGGTTTTCATTCTAAAAGTGCATGTCAGGTACGTATCAGCCTGTCAAATGTTTGACACACCAAATGACGGCATTTTATTGGTCATTAGTGTTTAGATATTCTAATAGTGACATTTGACAGACTGTCATTCAGTTAACAAACTGTTGATTAGGAAAAGGCGCAAAGCTTTTAACACGGCTATGGACTACCTTCGATAAAATATTCATAATTTATATGACTTAATAGGTAAACAGGTTTTTGATCTGTCAACAGTTTGTTGCTAATTTATAATCGTGAATGATACGATGTGATAATTATATTGTATTATTAGGTTAATAAATTTAGTTGAAATTCAATTTTTTAAGTATTTATTACATTTTAATGAGTGTTTCAATCAGATATGAATTATGTCAAAAGACTGAACTCATTTTAGCAACATTCGTTCGTTATTTTTAATCTTAGTTTTAAAACAGAATGTGATAACTATATTTTAAAATTAGAATTTCGAATCTACAAATCATTCTCGGCTTATGATTGGTCGATATTTGACAGACCAATGACAGCTAACAGGTTAAATTTTAGGTGCATGTAAATATTTTACCTTATTATTAAGTTATTTATGTGAATGTAGCATTTTAATTGTAATTATTAGTGTATTAAAATCAGCTGAACTTAACTGAATCTCAGGTCTTTATGATGAATTGAAAATTGATACGTGAACGAATTGACCCATTTAATTATGTAAATAACTATTTATGATTTAAATTTTCATTAGTCGTTACTGAAAATACAAAATTGATCTAAGAAATGGTTTTTTAATTTAACTTCTGTTAAAAATTCTGAAATTTCTTATTCAGTGGTTTTTTTAATACAAAAGTGACACCGCTGCCCGTGGACACTCACATTGCCAGAAAGGTCGCGAGCGTGTTGTAGGCCTATTAAGCGACAGTGCGCTCTTACTCTCAGTTGGACACGGGGGAGTAAATATTTATATCTACATAGATATATTAAGTGACTAGAATCGGCAAAGCGAGACTGATAGAACATTACCTGAAGTTTTTGGTTATTGTAAAATGCACCTTAATATTAAGCAATAGAAGTGCTAGAACAATTCACCACAACATTTTATTGAACTATAACATTATCTAATATCTTTCACTGGAATGGCACCGATTAATATGTTATAGTAAAAATAAATATATCTTTAATGTTACTGACATGAAGATATTGTGGTCATGAAATGTACAAAGCGCAAACAAGTATATTTGCAATGGTATTTAAATCTGGTATTTAAATGTATTATAAGATAGTGTTACGCTTTAGTAGACCAACGGACCACTTAGGTTATCATTAACTAATCTTTGATTAAAAACAGTTCTGATTAGAAGACACAGAAATCTATATTAAAGAAATAAACATGGGCATTTCTCTCTGCGCACGTTATAATTTCTTTGGAGTAAAACTTTTAAATTGAAAAGCCGGGGGGCCCCCCCGCCCAAAAATTTTTTTTTTTTTTTTTTTTTTCCCAAAAAATTTTTTAAAATTTTTTTTTCGTATACAATAATAATGCCTAAAAGGAATATTATGTTGACTTAATTTTCTACAATACTAGTGAATAGCTTAAACTAAGGTAATGTTGATTAACAGTCTTCGTGTTTTGTTTTGTTTTGCACTTTATTCACTAGGTTTATAAACTCAAAAGGATAAGAAGGTTCTCTTTAGGCGTCTTATTGCTGTTTATCCCGTTTTTAAATAAAATACATTTATTTTAAATAAAACTTAATCCGAGGCTATTTAAGAATGCACTTTGTAAAATTCAATTGCGCGCGGATCGCGTCTGTGATTAGGCTAAAGTTCAAAGAAAATAACAAATATGTTAATATATTTTTTTTATTTATTGAGAAAGATTTACAGCTTATTACTAACTTACTTACTAAATACAATGTTCTTTTACGCCATTAAATAAATCTTTACAAATAGTTAAGTACTAATAATATTAACTGGAAAAATTGGTTAAGTGACACTTAACAGTTTAGTATATATAGGGAGGGGGACCGACTAATTTATTTTTTATTTTTTTATTTTATAATAATCACCTATATTAAATTTATAGTTAATTCTAATTAAATAAAAATAAATGATTTCATCATGTTCAACATAATTATGATTTAAAAAAATTAAAAGACGAATTGCCCCATCAACGGGGCACCTCGTACAGTTTTGGGGTACCTTCTTACGCTGTGGGGTAGTTCAAAATTCATTTATTAGCAATGAAATTAAAACAAAAATAAAGATTTAATTTCTATTAAACAAAAATAAAATACTTTTCTTATTAAAACAAAATTTAATTAGTTAGGTATCTTAAATTTAGAATTACATTTTTTACTCTTTGGTGTGGATTACAACTTCTTATTTTCGGGTGTGGCAGTATAAATTCGTGGTTTTCCTGGCCGTATCGTCATTTTGCTTGTTTTATTACTTCTTACAGAATGCGAATAGGGTCGAAATGCCTCTGGTGTCAAAACTGACTTCGAAGGAACTACTATTTGATGATTGGTAAATTATTCACAGCATCTGGTTCACAAGCATCAAAATCAACCTTAGTCAAGATGCCTTAACAGTAGTGTAATATGTAGAAAGTCGAAAACTTAATTTGTATGAAAAAGACAGCTCGCGTCGACAAATTATTATACAAATTTAGTTGTACAATTCGTACAAATGTGCCCCCATCTAGTGCTGTCCGGAACTGTACCCCCACTAACTGAATAACAACAAAATATAACTTATTTTAATATTAATAGGAAAACGTCATAAATTAAGTATTGGAGACGTATCTTAAGTATATTTTGCTAGTTACTGATAGAATACTCCACACGAAAACTTATTTTATCTACGGTAACAAGAGATAAAAACATAGATCAAAAACCTCTACCGAGCGCGAAAACACGTCTATGCCTGTAACTTCACCCTCATCGGTGCGAATTTCACGAAACTTCGTTGATGTATAGTTGGTACCTCGACTCATGCACACATACAAAAGCAAGACTGTACTTTATTTCGTCCAAGTTTTTATTTTGACTGTATGAATGTGCCCCCGTACGAAGGGTAACGATCTTCCCCTATATACTAAACTGTTATTATACATTTATAAAAAATGAAAGCATTTTTAAAATTGTTAATGCTTCAAAAATTAATTTTGTGATTTCGCTTCAAACTCCATTCCATTAAAAAAAATACTAGGAGTCATAAAATAAAATATATATCAAAAATGATACATTCACCTGTCATAATTCATTACAACAATTTCATTTTATTGCAAACGCAAACATAGGGCATTTGATAGCATGCAATTTTCTGAAACGGCTTTATTTCAAATAGAGCATTTTTCTGCGCCGCGAATATGAACTTGAATACAATACATTAAAGTCGTATTTTCCATGCAAGTGTTATGTCGAAAGTGAAAACTGTGTGTTGGTGGTCGGTTGTGCCTCAAGCATATTCTCACGAGTATCGAGCTCAGGAAAATTTATGTTTATGAACTAAGAAATCTGTCATAAGTGATACGGATGGCTTCGCTGAATCTGAAAGAGCGTAAATAATTTTTCACGCAAAAGGACTTTAGGTTTAAGATATATATCGCTTTAGTAAGTGTAATAAGTGATTTACCTAATAGGTATTTTATAGTGTCTTTTGTGAGCGATTTTTCTGGTTATTATTTGTTTTAGAAAACCGAATCCGTGGTTCGGTATAACCATTGTTACAAATATTAACAGTAAGTTGAGCTGGTATATTTTTTTTACGCTGCACGGCGAGAGACTAATAATATACAGAATCCGATGACAGCAATTAGAAGAAAAATCTTAAGCGAGATGTTCAATCAAATGCCATTGTAAGAGGCTGCAGATTTTTTTTTGTAATCATAATCATAGTAATAAATACCACGAAGTTCAAGGCCCATGTAGGGCTCCGGTATAATCACACAACATTGTGTATCCTCACTTACAGGTGTAATAGGCAATTTCTGGTCAAAACATAAGACTTTATTGCAACATCAATTTCGATTTTATTTCATTTTTGCATTAAAACTCAACTTCGATATGCGTTTTTGAATTTATTTAATAATAAAATTGCAATAAAAGGTTCATAATACTTTGAAATGCGCGTGTTGTTAGAATGCGCTACACACTTTTAAGATTAGTACTGTTTGGACTGTACATCGCATTTTTAAAGGGTATGTCAAATTCGCACAGATGTTAATGCTGAGGGATTTTACAACACTTGTATTCCTTGACAATCAACGCTACATATGCAATTGTGTTCTGAGGATTTTCATGAATATTTATGTTTCGGAAAACCGTATTAAAAAGATCTTAGTGATCTCGATGTTGTAAAATCTTTGTCTCTTTCACTGACGATTATATCAGATACAATTATAATGTCGCTAGTAATCGAAGCTAGCCCCTTTTCATTACTAAGCCACTTTTCAGAGACATCAGTAAATGGAGCTATAACATTCCTAAGTCAGTTGAGAAGAGAAAACTCTGTTACTGATCATAAACAAAGTGTAGAAGAAATTCCTCCTGATGAAAAAGAGGAACCAGGCTTTGATTTGGATGAGCGGGAAATCAAAAAATTTCATATTTGGCCGAAAGGAATAATACCATATTACATAGACGATTTTTCATTCGGTTTGTTTTCATTTACTTTTGTTGTATTTCATTTATAACTAAATATTCCATTAAGAAATAATGCTCCAACACCTTGAAAAACTGAAAAAAAAAACTGGAAAAGCATTAACAAACGTTCTGGTGAAGTATTTAATCTGTGGGTGGATTACGCTCAGCTTAAGATACCCTTCAGTTTGTCTAAATCTAAAATCTGAGAAAGTTTCTCACTCAAAATAACTATGCTTTTCTTTGAAGGCCAACTAGTTTAAATTAGTTTGGTTATTTGGTCCGTTGTGCGTAAACCTATGTTATATATTATGTTCCTTGCTTAGGGTTGCTGTTCAAGATATATGATAAAATAATAATTTACAGTACGAAACACTGTGCATATGTAGATTGTTCTACTTGAATTAACCTATTTCAACTTCTCACAGATAAAGTTTTAAGAGATACAATTCGGGCTTTCCTTAAGCATACCAATCATATGACTGGCCTTCAGTTCCTGGAGCTGCCAAGTCCACCTAAAGATGACAGTAGATGGGTGTTCTTCATAAACCGGCAGGGCCTGCTTGAATGTATTAATCAATCTTTTCGGAGCTTTACCAATGATGGAGTTCAGGTAATTATTAGAATATAGGATTGCGAAAAGAAGGATAAAATAAAAGAATCTGTTTTTCCTTCAAATTCATACTGTGTATGTTTTCAAACTGACAATAAGAGACACGCTTTTATATGTTCTCTTTTTTATTCCTTATAAAGAAATAAACCGGAGAAATATTTAAATGAAATAGGCCAGAAAATACATAGTATTAGTGATATATTTACAGAAAGTACTTCTTGGTTACGACTGCATAATCAACTATGGAATGTTGGAGGTTCTATTGATGCTTGTTGGTGTTCCACCACAACACAATTCCCCCGATCGTGATGATTATGTTGAGACTAAAATGAATAACGTAATCCCTAGTAAGTACACACATTTAACAAAACACGATTATAACCAAATAACACCAAGAAAACTAGTTGTATATGTTGGGTATGTGCATCTGAAAAGTTAAATAATTATGAAACTTTTTGTTTTAATTAATTTTATTACACTGGAAGTAATCTTATATTGTATTCTAAACAACCCTAACGCCATTAAGAGATTAATGGCCGCACGTTTCATGAAAAAATACTTTCAGACAAGAAATATTTATTTAAAAAATTTAAAGATGATGAATGGTTGTTTCATGACCTGGAGTATGATTTTAAAAGCGCTGGTCATTACGATTCTCATAAATTCACTGTTAACGGCAGAGCAACTCTTATACCAAAGGTAAATTATATCTGACTCATCAATTTATGTCATTATTTTTTATTGACTAAGTTTTTTTTTATTTTGACAGGATGACAGCAAATCTAATTTAGAGATTGGCTTTAAAAAACATTTTAGCTCTATTGATATAAAAAAAATTAAAATGTTATACAACTTTATTTCTAAAAAGGAACCCAGTGTTCATCTCCCTCAATGTAGTAAAATGTTTAATCCGGGATCTAACTTCAGTAAATACCGCGAAAATAAAATAACTGAAGGGAAACCAAGGAATAAACCTAATAAATATTTAGGAGTACCAGACGAAGCTCCCGACAGAGAGGATGTTAATAGCCACTTCGATGAAGTTAATGGTCAAACAAATGAAAATATAACAAATCCAAAATCAGTTATGGATAATAATGACGATGATGAAGAAGAAGAAGTAGAAAAACCCGAAAATAGAGAAACAGAAGAGGTTGCAAAAGATGCAGAACAGAAAATAGAAGAAAGTGTAGACGACGTTTTAAAGGAAGATAGTCAAAAAACTGAAGAGCGAATAGAAGCTAGCGAAAATCAAGATTTTGACAAAGAAAATAAAACAGTCTTAAAAGGTAAGACAAATCATAAAGGTGAAAACTTGTTGGACTTGTCTGATTTTGCTACTGGAGAGGACAATTAATATCCCGTTAATGTTTTATTTGTAGAGATTGAAATAAAACGAAATTCTACAAATTAAAATTATTTATTTAATACATCTTTTAATACATTAATTATCTATCACATTATAAGCATGTTTGTATGTCACGTTTTACGTAACACGTTTCACATATAACTTCGCAACACCATTTGAATTGACAGTTACAATTTTCAGTCTCTCTAATCGTGCTTTCAACATATCCTCGTCTGCAACAGAGCTGGTCACAACTGTCTGTACCCGCTGAACTAATATTACATTGTCGCCCATGGGTGCCGAGAGATCCAGTCTTCATGTTTGGGGAACAAAAATCTGGTGATTCTTCAGCATATATTATATCTTTTTTACCGGGTTTCTTTATGTTTGAGCTCTCTGGCATGAAGCTGTCACCATCGTTGCTTCCTATCACCTGTTAAACAGATATGCGTTTTGTTTTTAAATAATAATAATAATTTAATTGCAAGAATAACGTACAAAATTGTTACGGTGGTACAATCTATAGATCGCATATTCTGCCACACATAATGGCGTGCAATTTTGTCTTAAAAGGTAGAATATTAAAAGGAATTTACAATTACATTATGAGTCATATCATTATAGTCAATTATTATATTTTTTATCAAATTATTAAAGTATATTATTCCGTTTCAAATTAATATTAATTATAATGTTTACAAAATTAGTACTTAAAGTAGATTTTTAAAAAGTCTAGTAGGAAGATCCTTGAATGTCGTTGGTAAATTTTTATAAACCTTGATTGCCATACAAGGTGTTTTTCCTACACAATTCCAGATTCATTTTTGGCATAGCCAATTTCTAAGCAAGCTTTTAAGCAAAGATATTTTTTCAATATGGGGTTTCCAATTATACCCAAAAAAACGCAATCTTTGATTATGTCTACTTTATTGTTTTTATATTGTATATCTATTTGTGTTTTAGAGTTTTGAGTCTGAAAATAAATTATGTTCGTTTTGGTCATGTGTTATTTGATATCATACAGTTGATGGCGTTGTCTAGAGATTTAATTAGGTTTTTATTGTTCGTTTTTACTTTTTATTATAAGTGCAGTATCAGCAAAGGGTATGCAGTTCAGGTGTATAGCATCTGGGAGGCCATTTATGTTTACAAATATTTATTATTTCCACACATTCCATTCTATTTTCAAGGTAACTTTTTACCCAGTTATAAGCATTACCTCTTATCCCTTAGCATTTTTTTTTAAGTCTGTCGTGACATCTTTCCCTTTGATTTTGGTTTGTGTAAAGAGTAATTGTTAAAAATCCCCACAAGTTTACCTTTGCAGCCCCTTCAAATTTATCCCTAAGTCGATCGCCAATTTCTCTGAAAGTGGGCATCCTCCACCAACAAGTCCTCAGTGTACAGGAACCGGAAAGACCATGACACTTGCATTCCACTCTCATGTTGGACTTGATAGCCTGGACATACAAAGATAAGCAACTTTATAAGAAGGAAATTTTTTGACCTCTAATGGACTATATTTTTTCAATGTAGATATTGATTTATACAGATTATTCAGATAGTGTAGTGATAATGTCCGATTTTAATTACTTAAACATGTGAAGTCCTAAAACCTCTTTACCATTCAGAAAACCCTTTACAATTCTGGATAAGAAATAAAAAAATATACACACACATTAAAAGTTAATTAAATGCTTACTAACCAACCTCCCAGCGTTGTGATTATGAAGTTTGATCAGAGTTTTTATGTCGCTTTTCTTCCTATATCGACTATCCATAAATTCTCTAGACTTCTGCAACCCAAAGCGTACATTGTCACTGCAGCCTCCCCATTGCCACCTATCTGTCTGCGCGGGCGCAGGGGGAAGGGGTATAGCCGATACGCGACCACGGCGGGGCTTTGGTACTTCCTACAAAAAGAAACAGAGTACTGCTATTTTATGTTTAACCATGTATTATAATAAAGTTATCTAAAACTAGTGTTTGATAGGCGAAAATGATAAATAAAAAAAGGAAAATGAATTGACGTTTCTAAACCTAACCTACGGACCAAACTTTTTAAATTTGTTTTGATTTTCTTTTGAATAATTTTTAAATATTTTTATTATTACATACTTTGTAGGTTAAGCAATTTGTAAATACTGTATACTTGATTGTAAATAAATAAATTTAGTACTTAGATCTACAGTCATACATGATAATTAATCAGTGTAAATCGTGTCACGGAAAAATATTCCAAGTGTACACACAAGAGCATAATTATTTCATTTGGTCTCTTACATACCTTTTCGCATGAACATTCGAGCAATGAGCCCGCTGTGCACGCCCGAGTAATGGCATAGGTCACTCCCGCTGCGGTGATTGCATTTACGAACCCTGTCTCTCTCGTATCTGGAACAATATATGGTTAATTTGAAGTGTAATAAAGTGGTCATTAACAGTATTATATTAAATTACAATTGTAGCAATCCTAGTAAGCTACATCTTAATTTTAAACATACATTACAAGATCATTCATACAATATTCCTAGAAGAGTCATTAATTTAGCACAATAACTGTCACGCATATAAGCGTCATTCGTGAATTAGATATGGAGGCAACTGAATGTTAACATAAAATAAATTACAACGTGAAGTTGTTGACCCAAAAATCAATATTCACACGCTCGTTGTCATAAACAAAGATGGGCTTCACGAATTAAAGAGTTCGATCCATAAATATCGTAAGATTTACACGGTACATTAGTTCCGCAGGCAATCGACTATTTCATCTTTAATTTATTTTAAGATTTCTTTCAGTTCAAATATGAAAGTCTCAGAAGTTAAAATGAAATGAGTTTGACAAGTGAGTAAGTAGGGTCATTTAATAACTCTCATATCAATACCGGATACGGCAAAACACTACTGGAGTATCGCAGGGTCACATTCTGGGTGCGGATGTGTTCCTACTACCTTCCTGATATATTTAACATCAGCGTTTGAATTATTGATTGACATCAATTGTTTAGGCATTTTATATTTACAGCCTCAACCGGGATTTTAATACAAGCCCTCATAATCTGCATTCCAAAATCCTACTAAACTAATGAGGTCTTAATTAAAATATATTAATTGCATTTGTATTTTATCTATCAAACCTTATTCGAGTTTATATCTCTTTTATTCTCATACTCCAATACTAACCGGTTGTCCGTCAAAACGTTAATTAACAGAAAAGTCCATTAAAAGAAATGCTAAATTAACTTTTAAATATTTAAGAGAGCTAATATAAAAACCAAAATCGTATCCACGACTGTATAATCACTGTGACTAACATTAAAAATCTTGTTTGCAATTCTCAATAGCAGTATACGTGGCCATAACAATTAATGGCGGGTCATCTGACTTCGAATGAATATTCAAGTTGCATGAATAATGTGTAAATTGTAATGTACTGAATATGTAGTTGTCATTAAAGTACGAACTTAAATCAATGGGAAAAAGCATCGAGCAACGAATAGTCGTCCATTACCGCGAGTACTGTGAATATAAAACTGTATGAATATAAGCATATTAATATTATAAGTGAAGCTTCAGAGCTTAGAATAGAAGTTGATTATGCTGCGATAATAAGCTTGTACAGGTAGTATAAGCAATACAAAACAACAATTATTCATTTAAAGTTATTTTCCGTTCAAGTACAGCAACATGGTTCCACAAAAATACTTAAATTACGTAATTTATGTTAGGTATTTAGGATCTATCTTAAAAGGCCGGAAACGCTATTGCAAGCCTTATGGCAGCTTGAGTGTTCATGGGCGGTGGTATCATTTATCATAAGATGAGCCTCCTGCCCGTTTGCTCCCTGTTCTAAAGTTCTGACATTATTAATCTGTTTAAACCAACTTTTTTTGTTTTGTTTTAATAAAAATGGCTCTTAATAATATTACTCACTAGTATAAAACTTATTAAAAGTAAAAAATTTACAATTTAATATATATGAACTATGTACACGCGTTAGAAGTTATACTTCTTTGGCGTAACAAGATAAAAATATTTTCAAAATTTTTATTTTTCGCCTTATTCTACGTTTGTAGAAAAAACTACACTTATAATAAAAAAAAACCTCACATTTACCCCTAACGCACCAAAAGAAGTATAACTTCAAAATTTAAAATCTTCGATTCACTACGAAAAGTATCTAGGGCTTCAATCGATTCTTTAAATCCAGATTAGATACGGGGTAAGCTGACGGCATCGCGCCTATCGATGCCATGCTAATTGGGCCTCTCGAGGACCAGGGTGCATTCCGCCCGGCTGCCACCCGTCCACAGATACAGAGAAATTTATTGCACAAACAATTTATATAATTGACGTGCGACAAAAAAGCGAGAGTGCACACCCATCTGACGCAGAATTCTACCTGTAATTACACCGCTTACGCTGCGATATTTCATGGTATTTTTATCTTTGATTTTTCGCTGAACCCCAAGGATACGGCCGTAGGAGTTATGAACGGAATGTCAATTTCCGAATATCTTGCTAGACGCGACGGAAAAACTGGTCTCGACTGACGAGAACGGATTCCAGCTGGGGAATTTCATAAGATTGAAAAGATTTTGCCTAAAGCTGCATTTTCAATTAACAAGGATTATTTCATGTAGATAAACGGACTGGAATGGATAAATCTTCTTCCTTGCAATAATAATCATGTAACTAATTAGCATTGAAATGCTTGCATCTATCATTCATAAAGAGATTTTGTATGGAATAATAAATTCTATTAACGCATAATAGTTAAACAATTAAGGATATGATTTCACTATGAAATTTCTTTTTCTCTTAGCTCTTTAAAAAACCTTTAAGCAACAGTCTAGTAATCAGGGTTTTCAGGCGAATGCGATTCGTTGTCAATAGAACAGCAGGGCCACAACACTCAGCCGTCATTATAAATCTCCGGCGGTGAGCTCTGAGCGAAGCATTCCCTGCGATCCGTCCGCGTTATGCGCTGTAATTATCGCAAAACTCGACCTCGACTCACAAATATGTCGTTGGGAACGAGGGACATGACATTCTCATCACCAAACGTTCAGTTTTTCTAGCGTCTCCGCTCACGAAGTATGCACTCCAATGGGGGACACTCCCACGACGCCCAGCCATAATATTTGGGAGTACGACAAACCTTTTTGTTCGGCACACGAGCGTCCGGAATGTCGCTATTCGTGTCTTCTTGAATTATTCAGCGAATCTTTAAATCGATCAATAATCGATGGTTCGAAATTCGAATTGATTCACACTTGCTGGTACACGGCTTCCATAATATCAGCCGTTTTTGTAGCGTCAAAATACTTCAAGTCTTTACAGCGGTGACATGCAGTTAATCAAGGCACGTGCACCACAAAGTTTTTGTAGATATTGTAAAATTATACTTTAATTTAATCAACAAACATCTGTACTGTTTAGGGCGAGAACAGGATTCCAGACATTGCCGATACAAAGGCTTGATTTTAAATTTTGGCTTTCATCTTAATTTAAACCCTCTTTTATTTAGTAGTAAAGTCTACTACAACACATTTATATAAAAAAAGATGTTTTGATCTGTTTATTTTGATTTATTATTACTTGACATATTCGTTTTATTATTTTTATAAATTAAAATTGCTGCTAGGTTAAAATAGTATATCAACCATCCTCAGTAGCACTCAAATGTACACTTATGAACGTCAATAAAGAAATACATATTAAATGCTTCTAATTTAACATTTACTGCTAGTTTAATCAAGGGCATATAACGGACGAGAAGAACTCGCAATCAACTTTCCGCTACTCTTTTTAATCGCCAACCACTAAATCCCTTAATTGGTCTTAGACCCCAATTTTAAACTATTAGTCCAGTCTTTTCAACCTGTCTAGAATATAATTTTTTGGTCTGATACATGCCAGTTCACTCGGAAAACATAGTTTTCCTTATTCTAGTTGGGTTGATCGTTAATTGCGCACGTAGAACGAGAAATCCATTGATACACGTAGGGTTCGACCTTCCTCAACAACATATACAATATAAAACCTCTTTGGTGTTCGTAAAATCTATAAAATCGACATTAAGTCTTCTGTCATTTGTATACTAAAATTACTGGATGTAATTGTAAATAAACAGTATCAGATATTAAAATATTCCGGGTCCTTGAAATATGTAAAAGAACATGGATCCGTTGATGCTGTTTCACTATTTCACCTTTGGGATTGTTGTTTATATGTCGGTCTTTGAAGATTCAGCATCAGCCCAATCTCTGAAATACTACAAAGACGACGATGAAGAGTAATGTTTTGTAATTATTGAAATGGTCAATTAAAATGTGGTAAATGTGTTTGGTTTCTTTTCTGTTACTAAGTGTGTATCCATTTCTGTATTGCAACTGTTCAGATTGATTAACAAACTTTGTAAGCCACAGGTTAGGAAACTTCCTGTAACTATTTATAAAGTACTGGGGTTCTGTCAAGTATTTTTATAATATTCATATTATATTCGTTTGTTGTAACTGTTTGCAAACCTGTCAATTTTAAAGATAAAGAAATCTCGACGGTGTTTTGAAATGGTATACCAAATGCCTTTTCTCAAGGAAGACCGCTACAGATAATTAATAAAACTTTAAGGAATTGATGTTTATAATATTCTAGCCGCATTGCTCACTACGACAAGACCGTGATTATAAATCCATCACTTAAAACATGTATAAAGTAATGCATGAAACCTTTAGGTATCTTTGTGTATATAAGCTTATCAATGCAACCCATTTACAATTTATTCAATCAAAACTCAACTTGTTTGCTGCCGAATACCAACAAATTTGTCGATTGCATGCAACAAAGCGATAATAATTAGTGGCTAATTAACATTAACGATCCCACAATTCAAGTGACAAAAACAAAGATTTAGGTCCCGCACCAGTTTCCTCTCAGATAAAATTTGATTTGTCCGCCAATTGACGGTGAGGGCAACTTTGTGGCCGCCGACACATCCACCAGTATGAATCACATATAATTACACTTAATAACTCGTTACAACTTTCAGGGCTTTAATGATCGTATTTTAAAAGGGCCAATTACAACATTAATCAATTCCAATAGCGACATAAATTATATTGATATAAGCGGAGTGCGAATACCTCAGTGTACGTCAAATTGAGTAGATAAGACTCGGAGCGGCCAAGATGATCTTGCAGGCCATAAGTGAAATTGCTTGGATTTTGCAATTTTAATTTCGTTTAAGAGTGCGCCCTAAAGTATGGCAGTTGGCGATTTTCATAACGTTTTAACTGCTTATCCGATAGTTGATTTTTGTGTGTAGGTGAAGTGTTTACAACACTTCAAATAATTCGTAATTAAATTGTTAAAATTTTGTTTTAACTGCT